ATGTATATGCGTGTGTGTGTGTGTTTGTAGAAACATGTTATCTTGAAATCATGGCAGCATTTTCTCTTTTTCTCTGCTGTTGCTGTTATCCCATTAGTTCTCCAGCAAAAAAGCTGAGATAAAAATATGGATTGATATTTCTCATGTGAAAATAATAGAGTTAGTTAACCTTTAAAATAAAACTTGGGATTTATTTCCAACAATTTTTATGTGAGGGGTAAGGGTAAACTTATAATTGTGGTTGGGTTTTTTGGTTGGGTTTTTCCGAGATGGTTTCCTGAGGCAAGTTTGTTGTGATGTTTTTTTTTTTTTCTAAAAAATCAACTTTATATATAGTGGAAGTAATGTTAGATTCATAAAAGACAGTGCATCCAAAGACATGATTATAACAGCTAAAAAAGTAAAAGCTGAGGAACACAAGCAGCAGCTCTAGAACTCCTGTGTTGAGATGAATTTTGGTTTGACTAAACCAACAAGAATGCCAGCCCAAGTGTTACTAGTGCAAAAATGAGTGGAAGGGGAAAAATAAAAACAAAAGAAAGAAAAAGTATTATAGTTTCCAGGGAGAAGAGGAGTGGTTTTGTAGAGAAGGTCTGTTTGTTAACTGAGAGCCACAACATTCAGCCTCTGATTACAAATTTGTTTAAGAATTCCATGGAGAAAGATGCCTAGGCCTGTCTTTTTAAGACAACATACCAGAAGTGATGTGTTCAGCAGCTCTGAAAATTAGACTTGTTCAGATGTAGCTGCATGATTTTATTCATATAGGTACTTAAGTTTTCCTTAACCTTGGTGTTTATTTCTGTGTCTGTAAAACAGTGGTGATATATTAGAAAAGGTATGAGTGTAATTTTGAAGCTCCTTGAATTTCACCCAGAATAGAATTGAAGAAAGGTTAGTAAAGCCCTGTTTCAGGGTAGCTTTTGCCTATGAAAAGATAACACCTAACAGAGAAAGCAGTTTTGTACACTGATATGCACTCTATAGATACACGTTAAAGGCACGTTGAAAAAAAAGAAGTTCTATAATTTCACAGTTTATATACAGATGACAGGTTTTCATAGGTTATGTGTTTTTCAGACGGGGGTGATTAATGACAGCAGGACTCACACATTCTAATCATTCCTCCTTCAGGAAGAAACAACAGCTTACTAGAAAGCCAGTACTCATCTCATAGTAACTACTTTCCCCTATTAGTATTTTTAGCCTTCAGTTGACTGTGCTGTTTAGTGAATACTTTTGATCTATTATTATATCTGTAAAAAATTTGGTGTTTTTTTTTTTATAAGAAGCTCTTGTCAACCCATTTTTCAACCTTTCTTCAAATTAATGAAGATAGTATAAATATAGACATTTAAGACATATCCATATTGTAAAAAAACCTCCAACCCTCAGCTTTCTCTGTGCATTTTTTCATTTTCTTAAACTTTTCTTCAGTTGTCAGAAAGTCTAACACAGTTTAATCTATCTGAAACAATGAGCTTTCAGTCTGTAGAAGTAAGACAATTCTTATTCTGGAAAGATACTGCTTGGTCTTGCTGTCAGTACATTTTGTATAGTGCTTGAATGGCCCTATTGTCCTCTTGTGCACTCAAAGTGAATGAATTTATCTTTTGAAGTGGAGCATTTCTTTCTTCCCTGTACCAATTCCCACTTCTGTTTCTGAAGGAGAGAGCAACACTGCACTCCTGAAAGCATATAATTCTGAACCTTGAAGATTAGATTCCAGTGTACCTGTCGCTCACAAAGACTGGTTTATGCCAAGTGTTGTACAGTTACCATAAAGAATTTGTTTGGGCCACTACGGAAATAAGTTCACTGTAATGTACTAATGAAATTGGTTAATTTGCCACCACCTTCAGTTCTGAAAAGTATATTCCTCATTTCTAATTTCTTAACCTTTCTGACATTCCTCACTGAAATTCAGTACTGTAAGTTCTTATGCACTTGCTAAATTTAAAACATGATAATAGTTATTCTCTCTTCAGTGGGATTGTTCATACAATGGGTACATGTGCAAATTGTGGAGGGTTGGTGCTCCAGCTAAAGATAAAGACTTTATGCATTTAATTTCTAGAGTGCTTTCTTAGTTCTGCATTCTGAAGTTCAATACAACAAAGTTTGGTGTCTGCGCACATCTATGTCTGTGAAGACAATCTTTGGCCTGCAGGGTGCTTCCATGCAGCCTGCTCCCTTTTTGCTCCAAGGAAAGTGGGCACAGCTAGCTGTTTGAAGGCATAAAAAAGACGAGATTGAAGGCATAAAAAAGACGAGATTGAAGGCAATATAGATAGACATTTTCAAGAAGGAATGGTATGGAATAGGTAGATGAATAAAGTTTAGTTACTGTTTCTTTTCTCTAACGTCATGTAATGAAATTCTCAGTTATCGGGGAAAAAAAACCCAACATACATGCACAAAAGGAACTACTTTCTTGCACAATTAGTATTTGGGAAATTTATGAAGTAGGATGCTGCGGAGGCCCCAAAGCACGGATTTGTTTAAAAACCTTGTGGATGCGGCTGTCAGTGGCTAGTAAGTATGATGGCTTGGCTGCAACTATTTGTTCAGGGACTTTCTGAGCTGAAAGTCCTTATATTGCTGGAAGCTTATTTGGGAAGATGAGAATGTACCTTTCCTTATTTACATTCTTTTTATGACAGTTGTCAGTAGCAAGTGCTTAAAGGGAAGCTACTGTACGAGGTGTACTTTTGATCTGGCTCAATATGGTAGTTATTATTTCAATTTTCTTCATTACTCATTATTTACCTTCAGTAAACTCTAATCTGGACGTAAGAGTATATTGAACTCCTATTAACCATGATTTATGGCAGTTAATAAATGAAGAATACATTGCACTGTTGTTCAGGTACAAGTATAGTCTCGTTACCTGTCCCTTAAACATCAGGACTTCTTAAGGCCAATTATTTGAAATAATTGAAACACCAAATGAAACCTGCATCCAATGTACATCTCAGAAGTGTAAACCCTTTAATTCTAGAAAGTTAAAGTTTATCTTTTACGTTTTGCTCACTTGATTTATGACACTGCTGCTAACAGAAATAAAAATTTAGTATTTTTCTATCCTCAGTACTTTTTTTTTTTTTTTACCCTATATTTCATGCTTCTGTTTTTCTCACTGGTCATGTCTGACTTTAAGAATGCTCCACTGTTACAGAGCATGCTGTCAAGTTCATACTCGAAAAGAGATTATTCTGCCCACTCCTTTACCATGGAACTGATCTTTGAGGATGAATTAGGGACTGTGTAGGCTTCACAGAACTCTCTGCTCTCTTCTACGGCAGATGTGTCAGTATGAAAACCATTGATTTATAGGAAGATGGAGTGGGGGCTGAAAATGAGGGGGGAGAATAAAAATGTCTATGTTACAGGATATGAGGGTAGAAGAAAGGTAGAAATATTAAAAATATATTACGTGAAGAGCGGCTAAGCCAGGGTACTTGTTGAAAAGTTACTATTTTTTATAAAGGTTTGTGCTGAAATCCAAACCTGGGTTCCACACCTTTACTGTCAAAGGTAACGGAAGGTAAAAAAAAATAATAATTCTTAATAAGAAGTCCGGCAAGGAAACATTATGTGACTTATCCCATGCTGTTTAAGTAGTGGAAATTATGGCATTTTGAAAATCTTGGCTTAAAATGGGCGCTATAATGCCTTTCGGGGCATAATTCTCTTCAATGCCCTTTGTTACCCTAAAGTGGTATAATTAGTACTTCCACTTGTGCGTAGACCCATTTGTGTGTTTTATGTCAGATTTAGCCTTATCAATCATGGCTAAAATGGTATTTTTATTTGCTCATACCTGAAATAGGGGAAGGAAGTGAAAAGTTTTGTGAAGTATCTTCTCCATGTGAGCTTTAATGCTCACAAAATTTGAAAATCTTATGAAGAGAAACTTGTCAGTGATGCACGTTCAAATATGTATTTACTAGAAGAACAATCTGCTCTGCACAGGCAGGTAATTCTGAAGCTTTTGCCCTCCAGTGCTTGTATTTTTATCAGCCCATACCCAACCACTTGTAATGTGGGAGGTAACAGTGAATATCTTGCAGATGGTAAGATATGTGGATTTGGCTTTTGGCTTGGGTGATGTAGTTTGGTTTTGTTTCTGAGTTACTGTTTCCAAGAAGTATGCTAATATTTCCAGAAATTAAACTGGTGAAAGTGACTACCATTAGATGAACATCTTAATCAGTTTAAGAAGGAGATACCAATGGTGTTCTGAATAGATCAGAAATAACGTAAGTGCCTATCAGTGTTTCCAAAATGCATGCATTTGAGAGCACCTCACAAGAGCTCACTGAACATTTTATTTCCTAATTGTGTTAATGTAAGATTAATTTTTATTTTAAGTATATTGTTCCATGCGGGGGGTGGGGAATCAGCTTTCTTGGTTTAAAGCGAAAAAGCTTAGAGTTTCTATTAATTGGGTTACAGATGACCCATTGTCTATTTTAGCTGCCGTAGGACTTTTTTCAAAGACAGGTTTGACATGTTCAGTTCATGTGATACATCAGAAGCATGAGCAAACAAAGGTTTAAGAAAGAATTTTATGCATAATATATTTTATTTTGTTGAAACAGTCTGTTTAAAAGCAGGCAAAACTGCTGTTAATGAGAAGAATTTAGATGTATAAACATTATTTAGTCACTACAGCATCATTTAAGCTAGATAATTCCATAGTTTTGGATCCACATTTTAATACAATCTGTTAACTAACCTTTTTTCTTTTATTAATAGTTGCAGCGTGCATTTTTGCTCCTACTAACAATCGAGTAAGGTCATTCTAGCAACTAGAAGTGTAGTGTTTGGACAAAATTTAGTATAGGCTTATTTATCCGTTGATGAATTAGAAGAAGCTTGCATGTTGTGGCCAAAATGTGTATTACTGACCTTTTTGGACTGTGCTGATTTAATTGTTTCATACATGTTTGATTCTTGAATGATAAAACCCTGAACTTTCATTGTCTTTTCCCTAGGATTTTAAGACGGGATTTGGTATCACTTTAATCCCTATGAATGTGGCAAATGTAAAACAAGTGGATCGGACTGCAAAGCAATCTTTTGAAATAATTACTCCTTATAAAAGCTTTAGGTGAGAACTTTAATATTTACATTACAAAATATAGAAATAACTAATGCATTAAAGAAGTACTTGCTTCATACAACAGAGACCTAGTTTGGATGAAAAGGTAATGTTTTTATTAAGAATGCTCAGCACTTTTTAAAAAACAGAAGGATTTTCTTTACTTTCTTCAGCTGTGCTTCATCTGTTACCTCCCTGACTAGACATCCTGTGCCCACAGATTCATATTTTTATATAGCCTTCTTTGTTCATTCTGTATGAGGACAGAAGAAAAAAAAAAAGTCACTTTAACAACTTGACTCCCTCTTAAAGAATAAAAAACTGCAGTAGTGAAATAATGCTGCATCCATTTAATATTAAGCATTTTATCTGAAAAGAAAAGAATCAATCATGTACCATCCCTTGTAGAAATCCTTCATTGAAATCTGTAGAAAATTTCACTTTGACTGATTTTTAAGAAAATAAAAGTATATGCTAATAAGAGCCTTTTGTTAAGTGTTGTAGTGTTTCTTAAATGAAATCTCAGTAATGCAGGAGAAGAAGAAATCACATTGTTCTCCTGGGCTTGCTCAATATTAGCAAAGAATTTCCTGTCATTCTTAGTTGACTAGAGTAGCAGGTAAATTAGTCTTGATCAGTGATTTGAATCTGTGGCTAGCTGGTAGATAGCTAGTTCTTTGACTTTCTATAAGCCATCACCATGTTGGTGTTTGCTCTTTTTTTTTTTTTTTTTCCAAAAAGATCAATTTAAATGAAAATAATTTTTTGGCTGTTGTAGTTAGCAGTCTGTCTTTACTCCTCAGTAACTCTCCATGTTTCCTTAGGTGTCACTATGTTCAGGCTTTAAGTTTGGTATGTGGTAACACAAAAAGATTGAAAGTACCTCAGAAATGTAACTTGAAAGTTACAAAAGCTATATAGCTCATGCTAGTAGTGGTTTTGTTGAAAACTGAACACAAAAACGGAGGGAGTTTTCATTGACTAAAAATACAAAATAGTATGTTCCATCTTAGTGTTTATATCTGTGTAGAGGAAGATTTTTTGACTGTGATTTCAAGTGTAAATGTAATAAATAAGAGAGACTACAGACTATGTTTAATTGGGCTTTAAAATAAAGATCAATAAAACAGAAAAGTCAATTGTTTCAGCTTTACAGCAGAGTCGGAAAGAGAGAAACAAGACTGGATTGAAGCACTGCAGCAATCGATAGCAGAAACTCTGTCTGATTATGAAGTAGCTGAGAAGATTTGGTTCAATGAGTCCAACAGGAGCTGTGCTGACTGTAAAGCTCCCAGTCCTGACTGGGCATCAATCAATCTCTGTGTTGTCATTTGTAAGAAGTGCGCAGGTAAAGTAATTAATGATAGGCTGTGTGGGTTCTACAAAATGTCATATTTGCATATCTGTTTATGTCCTTGAATTGGCTTTTTTATTTTTACAGTTTCATCCTTGTGAAAGTTTTGACAAACAAAAAGTGAACATAACTTTTTTTTTTTTTTTAATACCAAGGTCATCCTTATTCTAAAGCACTTCCATGCATAAATGACACGTTTGTAAGGTGATTGGTTTCCCTCAGATGAATAATCCTTCACAATTAGTGGAAATTAAGACATGCTAGCACTTCATGGGAAATGGCTGGCTTTTGCAAGGCTGGATGCCAAAGAATAACTATTTTCACTGTATAAATCTGGGGTATTAAATCTACTACATCAGGGCATATTTCACTGCCAATAGGGATAGCTTTTTCAGATACTACTAAAAACCTAGATCTATCATGTTTTATATTTAAATATGTGCTTAAGCAGTAGATTCAGGAAAATAGTTTGTAACTCCAGGCTTGCTTTCAAAACAAACCCTCCCAAAAGTATTCTACATCAGACAGCCTACTTTGTTTATTTATTACTATCAAATACAATCCACTTTAAAAAAAAATATTATTTTAGAGCTTTTGGTGCTTTTATTTTATATTCAAATGTCAAACTCAGCCTTTTTTAAAAATAGCAATTAGAATAAATCTGTCTTCATTAAATATTTTTGTTACCTCAGCAGAAGAGAAACTCTGTTTAAGTGCTTTAGTTAAGTAAAAATACTCTTGGATTTTCAGGACAGCACAGGTCTTTGGGACCAAGAGATTCTAAGGTCCGGAGTCTAAAAATGGATGCCAGCATTTGGAGCAATGAACTTATTGAGGTATGTTGTGGTATTCTGTTTGTTCCATCTTGAAAACTACTGTATGAATACGAGTTATTTATTGCTATACTCACAAGAAAACTGAAAATATAGCTGCTAAATAACATGCTGCTCTTAGAGAAAACTTGATGTTTCCAGGAATAATGTACCTTTGTGTCATTCAAAATACTTGTTTGTTTTGATAACCATCTGTACAATTTTTCTTAGTATTTCTCCAAGCATCTAGTTTTTTGGGGGGAAAAAGAAAGAAAATGCTTTTGGAGAGCAGTCATGGTGAGCAATATTGGGTAGGGGAAAATAAAGGAAACTTCTCACTACCAGTGTGGTTGCTTGGGGTGTAAAAGCTGGTGTGGATAGAGAGGGTTCAGTCATCAGTGTTTTCTTTAAAATATATGCTAGTCTTCTCTGACGTTTTACTGGTATTTTTCTAATATGTGTTGAAATACTATAAATGGTTAGCCTTGTAAAGCTTAGTTGCTATTGACGGTCAATGATGACTACAGACTTTATTCATTTGCACGTGACCATAGGCAGTGACAGAGAGGCTTCCATTTCATCTCCTGCCGGGAATTTTCCTTTCTTTAATAACTTTCTTTTTCAACTTTTAGCAGCTGAAAACTATGTAGAGGCTAGCTTCATATCCTTCATGCTATTTTGCTTGGTTTTTTTCTTGCACCTCATCTAGCTCTTTATTGTCATTGGAAATAAGAGGGCAAACAGTTTTTGGGCAGGAAATCTTCCTCCAGATGAAGAGCTGCATATGGATGCCCCCGCAGAAAAAAGGATAGCATTCATTACACAAAAATACAAAGAGGGAAAATTCAGGAAAGCACCTTTTCACTACAAAACCAAGGAACAGTTGAATAAGGTAATACTAGAATGGGTAAGCCCATACCCTACCTTTTGTATTGTATTGTATCTGTGTGCAATTTGGTCATCTTGTTAAACTAGTGAGAAATAAATTCAGAATCCTGAGTGACATTCTCACAGAGCTGAACAAGAGTTGTTTTGGAGCCTTTACAGGAGTCATTTCATGATTTCTTAGTTCCTAGTTTTTCCAGTTTGTTTGTAAAAGGTTATGGTACCTATATGGTGCCTGTAATGCATCTTCCAGAGCCATCAATGAATATGGTTCTTTATTTTTCTTCAAATGCACACTCTAGGGATGCAAATTCCCACTTCACTTCTTTAGATTTCTTCTTTATCTGTTTTTGATATCTTATATATCTGACATCTAACATTCCAGTACATTAGGTGATTCAGTGTTATCAGTGGTGAAAGTAGCTCAGGCACACTTATATAGTAGCTCGTAGCTATTTGGAAATGAAACAAGCTAAAATTAATGATAAAAAATGCATGTTATCAGTGTTTTCTTTTACACAAATAACAAATTCTTTACAAAGTGGAAAATGCTAATTATAATTACCAATTTCTGTGTAATTTTTGATGTCCATTTGACTGACTTCTAGTATCTGTTGATTTCAGAGTCATGATTGTTTAGGGTTTATGAATACAGAAGAGTTTAAGTGCCTATATTTTTTTACAATGCTAATGCATTCAATTGCGTGCGTCAAATTGTCTCAAAGGGTATGCAGAGATTGTGGGGAGGCAGAAACATTTAAAAGTTATTGTGGTTTGAACTAGAGAGACCTAATTCGTTCAGTGGTTATTGTGTCAAAAAGGAAGTGTTATTTTCCACACACTTTGTAAGTTATATGTTAGTTATACGCATAAGATAGTTAAAATAAGGGCATATAAGAATAGTTGTCAATAAAAAACTTCTAGCCAAAGTATAGAACTGTCTCACTGCGTAGCCTGAACTTAGGTTTTCTGCATTTCATTGGAATTGGGAAACATTTTTGGGCTTCATGGGGAACTCTTTATATTTTTGCAAAATAAAACATTTGGATTGTTTTCTATTCATTGGTAGCAGCTGTGCAAGACACAGTATTTAATATTGCAAGTGTGGATGACAGAAAATAGCTCTGTGTTTTACAGGCTTATTTATCTGAAGTCTGTGTTTTTTGTTGGGGGGAAGATGTCTGTCAATTAATCATTTAACTACTGGGAAAAAATGTCAGATGTAGTGGTCAAATTCTCTATAGAGACATGAAATTACCATGTAATAAGGTGGTCACTGCTAAACAATCCTAGAACGTTTACTGAACAGTCTGCCCTGTCATCTTGTGCCTACTGGATGCTTACATGTTTATTAGAGCAGATGAATTTTACAGTAGTACTCTTCTTGTGTTGAGTGACTTCTGCCTTAATCATTTCAGAAAAAACTCATTTATTAAATAATTTAAATACATACTAAATCATAGAAGTTGTTGTGGAATAGATTGCTGTAATTGTGTAACTACTCCTGGTTTTAAGGTTTTGGACCAACATTTTGAAAGGATGAAAAAAAAGAAGTTTGTTATGTTTGTCTGTCTTCATGTATACAAAAAAGAAAGGGGACTGATGTTTTAGGATGTGGTGAGGTAGTTAAATCTCAAGGAAGATGATCAAGTATGAAGACACCCTGAAGAATAGTTGCCTTATTGACTGTGACCGTAGTTTTGAAAAACTACCTATGAATTTCAGTTTGTTCCCTAGTGACAGAGTTTAAGGATCAAATCTTGTCTCTTTGGTTGAACTTTTGAGGTCTGAAATAGTAAGATTTTTTTCTTTAGTAGTTTGGTGTGTGAAGGAAAATGAGGCGGAATTTTTCATGTAAATAAACAACAAGCTTCCCCTCCAGCTGTATTAATTCATGTTATCCTTTCCAAGTTGTGGCAGCAACACCTCGCAGGATTTGGGTTGATGATGCTTATGTTTTGGGTTTTCTTTTCTTGTTGTTGCTGCTTTTTTCTAGATTCAGACCATACTGCATGATTCCTGCTACTTCTCAGTGTTTATGGTCTTAGAAAATGCAGGAGAACTGTATTGGAGGTGAAAGGATTTGCATCTAAATTACATGTACTTGTTGCCAATAACTTGGTGATTTAAACAGACTTCTTATTTTCCCTCTCCACGATAAGGCCCTGTGCGCTGCTGTAGTTAAACAAGATGTGCTAGAAACTCTGATGTTGCTGTTTAGTGGGGCTGATGCTATGTGTGCCACTGGAGACCCTGTTTACAGTACTCCGTACTTACTAGCCAAGAAAGCTGGACAAAGACTGCAAATGGAATTCCTGTACCATAATAAGTTCTCAGGTAGGATATACTCTCTTTGTTTTGATCTTCTAATTTTATTTTGAGCAAAAGGGAAGGAAGGAAGGAATTCAGAAGAAAAATTGGCATTGACTTGAACAACAGTGGTATAGCGGAGGGGGAGTTGTGATGGCGTTAATTGTATTTCAGCAGGCAGCGTATGTAATTGTGTACGTGTTAGTTTTATTTTGCTCAGACACCAAGTTTAGGACTTAAATAATAAAAAAGCCAGTGATAACTCTTAGACCTCATACCCTTATTTATAACACAGAAGAAAAACATCATCTGTTCTGCCAATATTATCAGGCTTTTACTGGAAAAAATGGGTATATACAGTTAACATGTATCTAAAGTATTCATCTGGGGCTTTTGTTTGTTTTCTTAAAAATTATTTAAATTGTTATCTACCGCTACTGTACACAGACCTACCTGTTTTTTCACAAACTCGCCTCCCAGAATAAAACTCACCTCTTGAATGTGTAATATGATCTATCCCCAGATCACAAGTTCTGTTACAGATTGGAGCATGTGATAAACTTTGGCCTTGAAAGTCAACAGTTCTGGTTGCAGTGTGTGACTGTTGTGAGGCTCTTGAAAACAGAAAGCTATTCTTAAAAATAAATAAAAAAAAAAAATCAGAGTATGGATGTGCCTGAGCTTACCTTTTAAAAGAGCTGTACAGTATCTGAGGCAGTCTGGGAATGAAAGTTCACATGCAGATTTACGCTGGAAAAAATTAGCTATGCTGTTTCGCAGCCAGCATTGTGGACATACTCCTGGACCAAACACAGTGCCTTAAGTTTTGCCTCAGCATTGCTCCGTCACAAGTGCCAGGCACTGGACCGTAGGATGTTGAGCTCGGTCACTGTGCAAGCATGCAGCTATGGGTTTTTTCCTAGCTATGCTCTCAAGTGGTCCTAAGGCTGTAGAGAGAAGCTTGCTTGTCTTGGCTCTATCTTTTCTACTTTTAGCCTTCCAGCCAAGGTAGCATCACCATGTGCTGGTGCTAGTGTTTGTTCTTCTCTTCAGAGAAAGGGACGCCATTGCAGGTTGACAGTGATTCTCTGAATCATTGTCTGTCTGCTGCCGGTGTTGGTGGTAAACTTCTAGACAAGCCATCAAGAGAAACAGTTCCCTTCTGTTGGAAGTATGTTACATAAGGGATGAAAATAAAAGCTTAGTACACCAGAAAACAATGTTTTAGATTACATTGGCAAGCAGTAGTAGACAATGGCAATGCTGTAACAAATGTGAACCAATTTTTTTATGAATATGTAAGAATTTTACTCTAATTATAAAAATAAATCAATAAGATGTATCTGTGCTGTAGTAAAGATATTACAGAGCAATTGCGGATATGCAGTTAGAAAGGCCTGTGTAGAAATGGTTATAACTGATATGTTCTGTATGTTATTTACTCCTTTGTCTTTTAATAGATTTCCCAAACTATGATACTTGTTTTGAAAGTGGCTTTCCTGAAGATTCTTCACATTCTACCTTTCTTTGTGAATTCTTATACAAAGTTTCTTCTAATACTGCTAAGCTTCTTACAGAGAAGAAATTAAAAGAAGGTATTTTACTTTTACTTTATGCATTTGAATAATACATGAATATGTATGGTTTGGATGAATTTGGTTCTTTCTAACATCTTGCATTACTTTTTACAAGAAAAAATCCCTTTGAGATGACATATCCTCTTTTGATTCGGTAGACCTCTTTCAGATAAAGAAAATACTGATTGTCTTGATCTCTTTATTCAGTGGTTGGCAGAGCAAGAAAACTGAACTACTGAAAAATTATTCTGTTAACAGCAGTTATTGATAAATAAAAAACACTTAGAAACAGTTCTCACTTTAATTATATTTAGATGGATGCTACTAACTGCCAAAAAGTAGTTTCTATCTAAAATGATAATATTCCAGAAATCATTGAAAAGTATCACTGACTTTTTGTAAAAGTCCAAATGGCTAACACCTAGGATATTTCTCAAGCCCACAAATTTTAAAAGTATTCCAAGTGGACATGAGCACTTCTGACAACTTTACAACAAGTTGAGCTTTGTGGGGTGAAAATGTGTGTATATCGCTGTAGATATACATGGTCTTGTGTGTATATCAGTCTTCTGTGATTTCTTCTTTTTTTTTTTTTCCAGACAGATGTTACCAGATGATTTTTTTCCACAAATAATGTAGATTTTTAAAATCTGGGCTGATTTACGGTTGTGCTTATTGCTCCTAAAATGTTGTCATGGCATCCTGTGTTGGTATATACATATTTTTGTATGATTATGTCCATATTCTCGTGGTGTATGCCTTTAAGATCCTTAGCAAAGATTAAAGCATGTTAAAGTACATAACTACTATTTAAATACACTTCTGAAGAATCTATATGTTAATGTGGGTCCAAATACTTGAAAGCGTTGGGTGATCAACAAAACTAATGCCTGATCACAGGCATTTCCCAGCAACTCTGCAGCTGTTAACAAAGACACCTGTTGTGGTAGAGGGCTGCTGCTGGACAGGACTTTCTTGAGGATTGTTCTGAAGCTGCACTGAGCTTATTCAGGAAAGAAAGGAATAACTGCAAACCTCACTACTACTTGCTCTAAGTGCAGACCTTGTCTTCTGCGTGTGGGTATCTATATCTATATTCATAAAAAAACTTTAAAAAAAACCAACCTCACTGAGAAGTAGAAAGCAGATACAAGGCAATACTACTGGTCTCTTCTCGCACAGTGGTGCGTTAGAAGCGCAGTATAAGTTTGTAAATACCTGTACAGACAAAAGATTCAGCTATAAATGCTCACAGAATGTCTTCTGTAGTACTTTCTGGGGAGATGCAGTGGGAGTGAGCATCATTAGTAGGATGCTTTAAAAATATTTATGAAGAAAACCCTCAGACAAGAAAAAAACTGAATTCTGTCTGTCTTCCGTTTTCAGCAGACAGAAATGAAGCTGCTTTAAAAGCTTGTAGTCTATTGCTTAGCACTGCACTTGGAGGAACATACAGTAAATGAAAGGGAACCAGATTTTCCTCAGCTCAGGTTTTGGCCTCTGAAATTGTGATAGCGTCTTGTAGATGGTAGATGTTCTGCTGTTTGTTTTGCGGGGAGAATTTTTGGGGGGAGTCTTTGCTTGGTTTTGCATTAATGTTGAATTACCTATGTGTTTGTCAGGACTGATGTTTCTGGGATGGGTGCTTTACAGATACATAGGAAGATAGGTTTCTGTGACCATTTGCAGTTTAAGAAGACAAATGATTAACGGAACAAGGGAGGAAGATGTAATAATATCCTTTCAACAACAACAAAAAAAACCATGCGATTTTGAATTAGAAACTGCTCTTGCCTGAGGGCTCTAATATATCTCAGCCATGTGTAAGAAGTATTATGACAGAAGGGTGGTTTTTTTTTTGCTATTTAAAAAGTAAAACACGTAATCTTTTTTCCCTTCTGTATTGATGTTTTCCCT